GCATCGAGGACCTGCTCATCCAGCACCGCTGCCCGCGGGCTGGACCGACCGCCCAGCCCCGGCCCCTCCCTCAGGGCACGCTGCTAGGAGACGCCTGCCTGTACGAGAGGAGCTTCTCCATCAGAGAGGGCCGCACGCCGGAGTACCTGCACTGCGGCGTGTTCGGAGACCCGCACATTCGAACCTTCAACAACGACTTCCAGACGTGCGCCGTGCAGGGGGCATGGCCTCTTGTAGACAACGAGTACCTGTACATACAGGCCACCAGCTCGCCAACGAGAGGGGGGACACACGCCACAGCGCTCACGAAGGTGAGTCACAGAGTAACGTTACTGCATTGTATTTTATTACTTTAGTATTTTACTCTGCAGTCATTTCGTACCGTGTCACTTCGTCTGCTCACAGATCACCATCATCTTTAAGAACTGGCGCCAGTGCGTCGACCAGCAGCTGTATCAGGCGGAGCTCGATAACGTACCCGCTGCGTTCGCTGATGGCTCGGTGTCGAGCGGCGAGCGGCGAGGTCATCACAGCCTGACGGTCCGGACTCAGAGTCCCGGCAGGCATGCAGAGATCCGGGCGGCTCACATCGGTACGCTGCTGGTGGTGCGTCAGAGTGGACGCTCGCTCGGCCTGTCAGTCCGCTCACCGCGTGGCATCGTTGAGGCCTTCGGCCCCGAGCAGGACCTGCAGCTGTGTGTATGGGGCTGCCCTGCCGCCCAGAGACTCAACACGCTCCGACCACCGCCACCGGACTTTTCCTCGACCACCAGCGCCCAGGCTCACTGCGCCGAGTTGCTTCCTGCCCGCGACGTCTACTACCAGGCCTGCGTGTTTGACCTGATCACCAGCGGAGACCTGAACTCCAGCGTGGCTGCCGTCAACGCGCTGCAGGACGCCACAAACATGATCTCTGATGCACAGAGAGTTCACCTGCAGCCCGTCGCCTCGGCCGAGCAGGGCCGAGCGCGACTGGACCTGATGCTGCTGCTGCTGCTGCTCGGCATGCTGGGAACTCTAACCGGAGCCTGAAGCTGCTTGTTTAACATGTGATGAACTAGCCGATGACATCACTCCACACACCTGTGGTCATGTGACTGCAGCAGATCCAACATGGCGTCCTGACGTGAGAGACTGCTGCCATCTGTTATTAGTTAATTAAACCAATCAGTAATCAATCTCCCTTTAACGGTACTTTCTTCTTCTACAGCGGTTAAAGACTATTATTGATTATATTATTGAATATAATCGGAGGATATTGGTTCTAATTAGTTTGATTGGCGATCTCTATAAACGATGAGCTGACTTTATTACACAGGAAGTCATTGAGTCTCTGACGCAGCGGCGGTATGTTGGGGGTGATACAGCGGGTCGGGGGGAGCTGGGCTCTTCCTGATAAACAGGATTTGTACATTTTGGTCTCTAGAAGAGTTTTGGGGGTTTTTGGGGGGGAAACGTCTGCATGTTGTGACGTCTTTGTCTTTTTTTGCAATAAAATTGAGGCTGAAAGTAAAAATGGTTATTTCTTTTTTTTTTGTTAAATAAAAACCGAAGACTGCTTGCAACTGAGGGAGTCGACGTTCTGTTACAGATTGATTGACTTTCATCATTTTCATCATCATCTTGGATTACGTGTAAACTTCGGCTACTGTTGATGTCTGTGTGTAAAGTTACGTATAGTTGGATATTAACAGTCAGACAGTCGTTATCTGGGGGATGTTTTACAGGCTCGGAGCAACGTCATTAACGAGCCTCCTCATCGGTTCGTGTCTCACCTCCGCTGAGAAAATCACAATACAACAGTACAGCATATTTAGATTTTGGCCTCTAGGCTCCGGCTCATCACTCCCCACAGATATGTTTCCATGGAGATATTGGGGAGTGATGAGCCAGAGCCTACAGGTGGATGCTGGGGTGGTGGTTAGGCTTACAGAGCAGAGGGAGAGCTGGGAAATTGTGCAGTTTAAATAGACCGCCAGAGTGGAAGGGTGCACTTGGTTAGTGATTACAGAGTGAGGCGTGTCGTGTGTGTATAGCAGCTCGAGTTGACTGCCTGAACTAGCTCGCAGGCTTCGCTCCATTTGTGTTTCTTGTGCAACTTTATAAAAGTGACTGCTGGACAACAAAGTGACACACACTGTATGTTCCAACGTCCATTCACTCCTCTTTGGGCTGGTTCAGATAAGGGTTTCAGTCTTCCAGGGGTATTTAGAGTCTGTAGATGGTAGGGTGAAGGTCTTCCAGTCGCAGTCACACAGGAGCTGACACTGACTGTAATTAATTGGACATATTAACACGTGTGGTTGCCAGCAGAAAGCCAACAGCTAACTTTAACATATAATGTTAACATTATGTGTGTTATAAGAATAGTAAATGAATGAGGCTTTACACAGAGCCAATCTCTCGTACCCAGGTACCCCCATGAGTTACAGTCCTCTGTGAACTTACCTGGTCATTTACAGGTAAAACGAGTCAGTCAGTGTGTTTCACTTTTACAGAAGTGTTGCTCAAAGCCTTTACAGTAAAGTGATCAGGTGACATTAGTCATCTTCCTCTCTGCAGAGGAATCATGATGACTGACAGGAAGAAGGAGGCAGGACCTCCACACTCACATATGAGCAGGTGAAGGGGGCGGAGCCTGCTGATTCAGGCAGAAAAATACTGATGAAGAAAGATGATGAAGGATTTCAGCCGTTCCGTTACATGTTTTTATGGTTCATTATATGTGAAATATGATTCCAGCTGTCAGATAAATGCAATAAATGTAACCTACTGGTTCCAACCTGCTCTCTCATCAATAAACTATTATATCATATATCATGTCCCACACTGTACTCCCCTACAGGAGCAGAGTCTGGGAGCTGCTTTTTTCTCCTCCCCTCTCCTCTTGTTTTTCTCCCCCCCTGTTCCCCCCACAAGTAATTTCCCCACGGGATTATTAAAGTATATCTGATTCTGATTCTGATTCTGATCTGATCAAGAACAGCTGATCAACTGATCAATGAACATAAACAGTGAACTCAATCACTACAGGAAGTTTGATTATTTCCTATGAATATTGATCAGAGATGAGTTTTCCTGATATACTGATCCATTCTCTGTCTGTATTCTGTATTTTTATTATTTGAACAATCAGACTTAATATTCTTCTTTCTGACAGATTCACTGTTTATTGATCGATCAGCTGTTTGCTTTCTAATGTAGAACAAGGCTGTTGATCAGCTCTGGTACTGTACACTGTGATCAATAATAATAATAACAGTTATTATTATTATTATTATTATTATATACATTGTGATCAATTCTTCATCTTTAAAGTTCAGATGAAATGAAAAATGGTACATCCTTTAAGATCACATCCAATCATATTTTATCTGTTTGCCAAAGAATTTCCGAAAACAAATTTATCTCTTTTTTTCTTCTTTTTTTTCTGTTATTTTTCTCTAAAATTCAATCATTGTGTCTTCCTGTGAAACTAAATATGACGCGTGCTTACGTCAGCATGAATAACTGATATCAACAAATAATATCCTTTACACTTTATTAACACTGTACAAACACAACTTTATTAACACTGTACAAACACAACTTTATTAACACTGTACAAACACAACTTTATTAACACTGTACAAACACAACTTTATTAACACTGTACAAACACAACTTTATTAACACTGTACAAACACAACTTTATTAACACTGTACAACACAACTTTATTAACACTGTACAAACACAACTTTATTAACACTGTACAGACACACAACTTTATTAACACTGTACAAACACAACTTTATTAACACTGTACAAACACAACTTTATTAACACTGTACAAACACACAACTTTATTAACACTGTACAAACACACAACTTTATTAACACTGTACAAACACACAACTTTATTAACACTGTACAAACACACAACTTTATTATCACTGTACAAACACAACTTTATTAACACTGTACAGACACAACTTTATTATCACTGTACAAACACACAACTTTATTATCACTGTACAAACACACAACTTTATTATCACTGTACAAACACACAACTTTATTAACACTGTACAAACACACAACTTTATTAACACTGTACAAACACAACTTTATTTACACTGTACAAACACACAACTTTATTATCACTGTACAAACACAACTTTATTAACACTGTACAAACACACAACTTTATTAACACTGTACAAACACACAACTTTATTATCACTGTACAAACACACAACTTTATTAACACTGTACAAACACACAACTTTATTAACACTGTACAGACACACAACTTTATTAACACTGTACAAACACACAACTTTATTAACACTATACAAACAAACAACTTTATTAACACTGTACAAACACAACTTTATTAACACTGTACAAACACAACTTTATTAACACTGTACAGACACAACTTTATTAACACTGTACAAACACAACTTTATTAACACTGTACAAACACACAACTTTATTAACACTATACAAACAAACAACTTTATTAACACTTTACAAACACAACTTTATTAACACTGTACAAACACACAACTTTATTAACACTGTACAGACACACAACTTTATTAACACTGTACAAACACACAACTTTATTAACACTGTACAGACACACAACTTTATTAACACTGTACAGACACACAACTTTATTAACACTGTACAGACACACAACTTTATTAACACTGTACAAACACAACTTTATTAACACTGTACAAACACACAACTTTATTATCACTGTACAAACACACAACTTTATTATCACTGTACAAACACACAACTTTATTAACACTGTACAAACACACAACTTTATTAACACTGTACAAACACAACTTTATTAACACTGTACAAACACACAACTTTATTAACACTGTACAAACACAACTTTATTATCACTGTACAAACACAACTTTATTAACACTGTACAAACACAACTTTATTAACACTGTACAAACACACAACTTTATTATCACTGTACAAACACACAACTTTATTAACACTGTACAAACACAACTTTATTAACACTGTACAAACACAACTTTATTAACACTGTACAAACACACAACTTTATTAACACTGTACAGACACACAACTTTATTAACACTGTACAAACACACAACTTTATTAACACTGTACAAACACAACTTTATTAACACTGTACAAACACACAACTTTATTAACACTGTACAAACACACAACTTTATTAACACTATACAAACAAACAACTTTATTAACACTTTACAAACACAACTTTATTAACACTGTACAAACACACAACTTTATTATCACTGTACAGACACACAACTTTATTAACACTGTACAAACACACAACTTTATTAACACTGTACAAACACACAACTTTATTAACACTGTACAAACACACAACTTTATTAACACTGTACAAACACAACTTTATTATCACTGTACAAACACACAACTTTATTATCACTGTACAAACACACAACTTTATTATCACTGTACAGACACACAACTTTATTAACACTGTACAAACACACAACTTTATTAACACTGTACAAACACACAACTTTATTAACACTGTACAAACACAACTTTATTATCACTGTACAAACACACAACTTTATTATCACTGTACAAACACACAACTTTATTAACACTGTACAGACACACAACTTTATTAACACTGTACAAACACACAACTTTATTAACACTGTACAGACACACAACTTTATTAACACTGTACAAACACAACTTTATTAACACTGTACAAACACACAACTTTATTATCACTGTACAAACACAACTTTATTAACACTGTACAAACACACAACTTTATTAACACTATACAAACAAACAACTTTATTAACACTGTACAAACACAACTTTATTAACACTGTACAAACACAACTTTATTAACACTATACAAACAAACAACTTTATTATCACTGTACAAACACACAACTTTATTAACACTGTACAGACACAACTTTATTAACACTGTACAAACACAACTTTATTAACACTGTACAAACACACAACTTTATTAACACTATACAAACAAACAACTTTATTAACACTGTACAAACACAACTTTATTAACACTGTACAAACACACAACTTTATTAACACTGTACAAACACAACTTTATTATCACTGTACAAACACAACTTTATTAACACTGTACAAACACAACTTTATTATCACTGTACAAACACACAACTTTATTAACACTGTACAAACACACAACTTTATTATCACTGTACAGACACACAACTTTATTAACACTGTACAAACACACAACTTTATTAACACTGTACAAACACAACTTTATTAACACTGTACAAACACAACTTTATTAACACTGTACAAACACAACTTTATTAACACTGTACAGACACACAACTTTATTAACACTGTACAAACACACAACTTTATTAACACTGTACAGACACACAACTTTATTAACACTGTACAAACACAACTTTATTAACACTGTACAAACACACAACTTTATTATCACTGTA